AGGTGGCCAAGGAGAGCGAGGGTCGGGGGGCTCTGTCCCCCTCACCTCCACAGCAAGCAGCCAGGAAGATCTTGGTGCCTGACCAGGGCGGAAACAGGCTCAAGGAGCCAAGTTGGGAGGACCCAGAGGGAGACAGGGAGAAGATGCCGGGGTGACCAGACTCGAGACTGGACCCTCCACGGTGGGGGGGGGGCGACAAGGCTACTCTGCCCCCGACTAGCCTGTTGGAAACTTCCACTGACCCTGACAAAAAAGAAAAACCAGGCTCCCAAATTCCTCTCAATGCACCCCGATCACACAAGCCCTGAGAGGCATACAATGTCCAAGAGGGACAAAGACCCGGATGGGGAAGCCACTGTGCCCTTCCCCATCTGACACCGAGTCCCCACACCCGCCCTGTGGGTGAGTCGCGCGGAGCACAGCCCGGAAGCTGAGGGACGAGTCACCGGGCGTCAGACCCCTGCCAGCCTAAACCCACCCTCACTGCCCCCCACCTCTGCTTCCCTGGGACCAGCGCGGAGAGAGCAGGCCGGCCCCCCACCAGCGGTAATTGAAAGCAGCAGATGAGAATGTGTCCCCACCTCCCCGCCTGCCCCACGGGGGCTGCTGAGAAATGAAAACTAATCAAGTTACACTCGACGGGCTCCCTCCCGGGCACAGGAGCCGCCAGCCGGCCAGGCAGGCAGCCTGGGTGGGTGGATGCAGGCTGGAGCGGGGGGTGGGGGGCGGGGGGCTCACGTCTAATCCGCTGTGAACGTCTTGATGTGTAGCAACAGCTTAGAGGGGCTCAGGTTTCCGTGGCGTTGGCTATATTTATCTCTGGTTCCATGCCAGCGGGGAGGGTTTAAATGGCACCCAGCAGTTGGCGTGAGGGGCTGGTGGCAGGAACAAGCCTCTTCCGACCCCATGGAGCTGTACGAGACACCCCCCTACTTCTACCAGGAGCCCCACTTCTACGACGGGGAGAACTACCTGCCCGTCCACCTGCAGGGCTTCGAGCCAGCAGGCTACGAGCGGACGGAGCTCGGCCTGAGTCCCGAAGCCCGGGGGCCCCTCGAAGACAAGGGGCTGGGGTCCCCGGAGCACTGCCCGGGCCAGTGCCTGCCGTGGGCGTGCAAGGTGTGCAAGAGGAAGTCGGTGTCCGTGGACCGGCGGCGGGCGGCCACGCTGAGGGAGAAGCGCAGGCTCAAGAAAGTGAACGAGGCCTTCGAGGCCCTGAAGAGGAGCACCCTGCTGAACCCCAGCCAGCGGCTGCCCAAGGTGGAAATCCTGCGCAGCGCCATCCAGTACATCGAGCGCCTGCAGGCCCTGCTCAGCGCCCTCAACCAGGAGGAACGCGGGCTGCGCTGCCGCAGCGGCGGCGGGGGTGGGCCCCAGGCGGGGGTAAGTGGCTGCCCTACTGTCCCCGGGGGAGGTCTGATAGCCCCCGTGACAGCTGGGCTGTCCGGCCGCCCCGCGTCCCCGTGTCCTTCCCAGACAGGACAGCAGCCGTGGGAGGAGAAGCAGAGATGGGGGGCGGTGGACAGAAGGAGGGGTCAAGGAGCCAGCCCACGGTCAGCCGGCCAGGGTGCCTGGGGGTGCAGCCCAACAGCAAGGCCAATCACACCGGCGAGGACGGCCCTGCCCCACCCCACCCGACCTGGAACCCCAGCGCCGCATGAAGAGGCCCTGGCTGAGCCAGCCAGACACCCTCACCCCAGGGTCCAACCCAGATGGAGACCAGGAAAGGCCTGGGCGCCGGGGCTTCATGGCCAGGGCAGGGGCTAACTGTGAAGATCCCAGGTGTCTGTGGCCTAGGCTGGGGGCGGCACCTCCACATAGGAGCTTCTGCCTGGGGGACTGGGCAGAGGACACCACCCAACGCTGTGCGTGACCTTGGGCCTCGGCGTCTCGCAGGTAGCCGGTGAATGCAGCTCCCACAGCGCCTCCTGCAGTCCCGAGTGGAGCAGTGCCCTGGAGTTCGGCCCCAGCGCAGCGGGTGAGGAGGGCCCTGGTCAGCTTGGCTCAAATCCCTCGGCCCGTGTGGTCCCTCTCACCTCATCCCCTACCTTGGCCTCTGCAGCGACCTGCTGACCCCAGGGCCCCAGGTGTGGGCTGGGGAGCCCCGTACCTCCCTGAAGCCTTGACCAGCTGACACAGCTCCAGCCTCCAAAGCTCCCAGAGGGTGCCGGCGGCTGGTGGCTGCTGTCTACAGGGAGGAAGCTGCCCCTGCCCCAGGGTCCCCAGGAGTCGCTGCGTCAGTGCTGCCCGCTGGCCAGCCAGGGCAGGTCCACCTTCCAGGACACGCCACTCAGGCCCCACCCACCTTCACCCCCACCACAGTGGGGGCAGCCGTTTCTAGGCCCAGCGCTGGAGGAGGAGGAGGACCCCTGAGCTTTGCTTCCCCGATGTCCTGGGTCTCCGGACGCAGTGTGCACCTAGTAACAGCCCCCCCCTCCTCCCTGCAGACCACCTGCTCACAGCGGACCCCACCGAGGCCCACGACCTGCACTCACTCACGTCTGTGGTAGACAGCATTGGCATGGAGGACGTCTCGGTGGCCTTCCCGGATGAAGCCATGCCCCGCTGAGGGTGTCTGCCAGACCGGGGTCTGTGCCACGGGCTGGCCACTGGCGGCACCATGACCTCAGTGGGGCCGCCAGAGGAGGCCAGCCCACGCCCCCTCACCCGTGCAAGGTCAACCCACCGCCCTGAGAGTGAGCAGGCGTGCTCACTGAGCTGACTACTCGGGGCACAAGCCATCCCAGCTCCAGAGCAGTAACGCAGGGGACCAGCGTGCCGTGTGCGCCCCACTCAGGGCACACTCAGGAGCTTCCCTTTGACCCCAGCTCAGCCTCCAATGCCACCCCGAACCCCAAACATCCGTGTGCGAGCCATAGACACTGCCCTGACTGCCGACTCCCTTCTTTCTCTGAGGCCAGTGGCTGGGCTGGGCCTGCCCTGAGTTGGGAGAGGAGAAGGGGACAGTCCTCTGTTCCCGAGTCCCCAGGGGGCCGAGCTTCTGTGGTGAATCCTGGGAGCCTTTCAGTGGCTTTACGTTTCGTTTTTGTGTGTTGTTTGTGAAGCTGCCATCTGACCAATGTGTCCTGTGCCAAGTTGCCAGGGACGGGGTGGGGGGCGGATGGGGAGGGGACAGGGATTCTTGGGGTGATTTCTTTTGTTAACTAAGCATTGTGTGGGTTTGCTATTGTTTTGTAATTTTTTTGCTAACTTATTTGGGTTTCCTTTTTTAAAAAATGAATAAAGAGTGGGTGCTGGATGTCTGTGATGATGTAGACAGAGGGGGGCCCGCTGCTCCTGCCTCACCCCCTGTCCAGACACCCCAGGGACCGGCCTGCAAGGCTGGCGGCTTCCATAGCGTCAGCGCCCCCTGCTGCTGGTGGTCACTAGGCCCTGGGACCCCTGCTCTTTCTATGACCCGAGAGGCCAGGCCTGGTCCACAGGCAGGGTGAAAACCAGAGTCCACAGAAGTGCTTGTGGGACAGGCAGGGAGCCCCACTGAGTGCCCAGCGCCCCCTGACTCAGGACACTGTGCAAGTCCACTTCGTCCCGCCAGGTCCTCCACTTAACTGAGCACACGCCTACTGCTTGGCCCACGGCCCGCGGGCAGGGGTGCAGCTGGAATCGGTGGGTTCCCGTCCCCAATCCCCGCCTCCCTCTGGTGGGGTGTCACCAGGATCCTGAGAGGAAGAGCAGCTAAGGCCGCTGTCCCCACACTGGGTTCCTGAGAGAGAACAGACCCTGGAACAAGACTGCACAGGAGCCACCAGCAGCTCCAGCGTCAGTGGGACGTGAACATTCACTCAAAACCTCCTTGTTTCCACCAGCTTGTGGCTGAGTTTGAGTGACAGCAAAGTGTGGGTTTCAGAACCACCGCTGAAGCCCAGGGGCTCAGAGCATGCTCCCCTCAACCCCCACTCAGCCCTTTGGGGCCCTTAGCAGACGAACCCAGAGTCATCCACCAAGCTCCGGTGCCCCTGGGGCTCCGCAGGACATTTTCCCCACACCTGTCTCCTGATTTGCTCCCAAGGAGGGGGCTCAAGCCGGGGTCCCCAAGGTTTCCCCAGAAATTGCCTAAGAAAACGGAGGAAGAGGTCTCAAAGCGGGCTCAGACCCCAGAGGGGCGGCCCCCTTCTTTGTATCGCCGTGTTCAGTCTCCCAAGCAGGGAAGGGCCACAGGGCATGGCAGGGTCACCTATCCCCCGACACCCAGCCCTCCCACCTCAGGCCCCACACCCCAAGGCTCTCAGGGAGACACAACCCAGCCACCTTCATTTGCCCCCCGCGCTGGGGGTTTGTGCTGGCCGAGAAGGGCCCTGCCTCTGTGAGGGAGCTGGGAGGCTCTGGCGTTGCCGGGTGTATTTTTAAAGTCTGTTCCTCCTCAGTTATCATGCCCATTGGAAACTGAATTTCACATTCACATTCTGGAAGGAACAAACAGTCCCCAGCGATGAGTGGCTCTCAGGGCTGGTGGCTCCCCACCAGGGTCAGGCGTGGCGGCCCACCAACTTGCTCCGCAGCCCCTCCGTCCCTCAGCTTCCAGCTGCGAGGAGGCCGCCAGGGTGTGACGGCAAAGGCTGCCCAGCCCACGGACTCCGCTAAGTCACAGAGAACTTGGCCGTCACAATTACATCACAGATGAGGATTCCTGGATGCGTGGCCGTCCTTCGGGGAAATTAGCTTAAGCCCCCGTCTCCAGTGGAGGCACCTGAGACAGAGCGAACTGGGTCAGCCAGATGCTGCGCATGTTCCTGGGGAGCCCGGCCAGAAGGCAGAGGTGGGAATCGCTGGGAAGAGGTGACCTCGGCGCAGCCAGCTGCCCCCGACCCTTCCCACCCCAAGGAAGCCCGTCTATTCTCTCCAGCTCTCGGCTGCTCCACCACCATCGTTCACGACTCTGGGATCTGCTTCCCAGGGTCCACCGGCCTCCAGGGCTGTGCGGGTAGCTGGACATGTCAGGTGAGCTCCGAGAGAATAATGGCCCAGAGCCTCGCGTAAGCTGTCGTAAAACCAGGTTGTTTACTGGCAGGTACACACGCCCAGGCACACACACGCACGCACAGCCCTGCTCTCACGCACTGAGCCAGGGCACGCCAAGGAGGGGCCGAGACTCGGGGGCTGGGCATGGGCTCGGGTCACTGGTGACTCTGCAAATACACGGACGGAGGCAACAGGGGCAAGTTGGCAGGTGTTGGGCATTTCTAGAGGAGGCAGGCCCTGCACGTCCGCCCAGGAAGGTCTGATGGGGAGGCCGGGGGCTCCGGGGTGAGCGGGGCAGAGTCCTTCACCGGCACCCGAAGCCTGGACCTGGGCCTGACTCACTGATGGGAGCTCTGTGTCATTCCCACCTTCCTTTTCCCCAAACCTGAGGTCAAGGTCAGAGTGTATTCAGGGCACCGAGAGGCCCACTGTTAAGGGGCTGGGATTACTGCAGAGTGGGCGGAGGGGACCGCAGGGGGTAGGGGGCAGAGCAGAGCTGGCAGTGCCTGGGGGTGAGCTCGTTCTAGCCCGAGATGCACAGACCCCACCCCCTTGCCCTGGGGTGAGACCACTGCAGACCCTTGCCTCTCTTCCCACTGGCCGGCCTGTACCCACCGAATCAGGGGTGGAGAGCTTTTTCCCCACCATGACCCTTGGCCCAAAGGTCAGGGGTCACATCTCTGATTCTTCTCAAACTCACATTTGAGATTCAGCTGCAGCCAGGCCTGCGGACTGCCCCCTGGCCTCACCATCCTGGGAAGACAGGCCTCCTACAGCCCCCAAGCCCCTGAGGTGGTCCCGGAGGTAGAAGCCACAGATGTCAGGCCATCGGGCACAGCCAGGATGGGGACAGGTACCAGAGGGCCAAAGAGCCCAAGTGTGGCCGAGTGTGAAGTGCTGTTTCCTCGGCAAGGCTGCCCCAGCCCTCGGCACGGCATCCCATTGAGGTCGAAGTCCAGGCCGGGCAGGACCAGAAGGAGGTGGAGTCACGCCTGCCCAGGCAGCTGTCCTCTGCCTCCGGCGAAATCTGCCACATCCACGGGAGACTGACATGGGACACAGGGCGGCGCCAGGGCAGTGGGCTGCCGAGGGCACGGACGGGCTGCCGAGGGCACGGACGAGTCAACTCGGAGATCCAGGGCGACTGGAGTCACGGAGGAGCCTGGGAGCCGTGGGAGGAGGGGTCGGACAGGAGGGTCAGCGCTGGCTGAGCCGGTGGAGCCCTAGGGCCGTGGCTAGTCCCGGAAGGCGGAGAGCATGTGTCCATAGAGATAGTGGGAGTGAGCTGAGAGAGAGAGAGACAGGCGTTGGTGGTGAGCAGGAGTCGGTGCCCAGGAGGCCGGGGTCGCAGGCTGCAGCGGGGGCACAAGCAGGGAGCGCCAGGCCGGATGGAGCAGCGCACGCCCAGGGCCAGCCACCAGCCGGGAGGGCACGGGAGGCAGAGAGGAGGCTGCGGCTGGGCCTGGCCCACTTACCCCGCACCACAGGCACACGGCCGGACCATGGCGGGAGGGCTCAGCAGGAGTAGGTCCGCACCGTGGCTGTCTCCACTCTCTGAGCCCCGGCCATTCCGGCTGGGAGGAGGCAGCGGGTAGCCAGGGGAACACACAGGACCGCCATTAGTGTGAGCGCTGGTGCTGGGCGGCCAGAGCCGCGGCCACAGCAGGGTCGGCGCGGTGCCGGGGAGCAAGCCGGGTGACTGGCCCACAGCTCACCTTCAGGTGCAACCTTCTTGGCTGGTGCTGGTGGAGGCTGCAGGGCCCCCAGGGCGGGTACCCCGAGCACCCCACTGGGCAGGTCCCGCGGCCGGAAGCGCTTCCTCCAGGAGGGTGCACGTCGGAACACTTTGTCCTCCGCCTGCAGTGGGGACACACTGGAAATGTCACCTGCCCTCCTCGCTGCGGAGAGGGTGCCACAGCAAGGAGCGGGGCAGGGTCCCACTCCAGACCCTTTGGAAAGAAGAGAGCCACACTCTGGCCCTCAGTTTCCCCATCTATAAAATGAGTCCGGCTGAAGCAGACACTGCCCTGCACAAGAGGGGCCCCCCCAGGGGACCCGCCACCACCCTCCCATGCAACAGCCTGCCCATGGCCCGGTCACCTCAGACAGGACCTGGGACACCAGTAACCTTTCCAGTCCTCCCCTGGGGCCAGGGGTCAGGAGCCCCGGCTTCCTCGCCATCCTGGACCTCCTATGTCCTCCCCAGGCTGCCCACCTGATGGGCCGAGAGAGGCACGGAGGCACGGATGGGGTCGACCGCCACGGGCGGGCCCCTAAAGGGCCCGTGGGCAGCCCCCTTAGGGGGTATGTGTACCCCTGTCCCAGCTCTGGGCCCAGGAGCACTGCACAGGTACCTGCGAGACCATTTCCTTAACCTCCTCGTCCCTCAACACACACTTCAACTTCTACCCTCCCTGGGGCACAGGCCGCCCCCTTCGTAGTTCTGACCAACTGGGCCCGGCCTGCCCTGCGTCCCAGACATGCAGGTGCCTGGTAAATATCCCTCAGGGCACAGATGGTGGCTGGCTTCCCGGGCAGGCGTCCTGCCCCCAGGGTCATCAGAAATTTTCCTCATCACGTCTGTCCTCCTCTGATCCTGCTCAAACCAGAGCTCACAGCCTCGCTCTGCCCCAAGGAAGGAGCAACCCACCTGCCACTCAGGGACCCCAGCATCACTCTGCCTGCAAACCCCTGGACAGAGGTGCTGCCTACAGCCCTGACTAGAGGGTCTGAGAGACAAAGCTCTGATCCCCAGGAGACAGCCTCTGGGGAGACCTGGCCCAGGGTCCGGGCGGCTGGGAGAGGTATTGGGAGAAGGGCAGCCTGCGGCTCTGGTTCCGGGAAGGGGTTCCGCAGCCCGAGGCAGCTTGGCCCTGCCTCCTCACCGACCTCGTCCCCTCCCCCAGGGCTCCCTTCCTTAGGCTACCTGGACAACATCAGCCCCTGGAAAGCACAGCTCACTAACTTCTACCCCATGACCTGGCAAGGACCAAACCCCAAGGCCCCTAATTCACAGCAAGCACTCACGTCATCCAGCCTCCGGTCTGTGCCCAAGGCCAGCAGGTTGCTGAACTCTCTCTCCATCACCTGGCGGGCCTGCAGTGCACAGGTAAGAGAGGCGAGGGGCTGCAGTTAGTGCGCTCAACGCCACCTGTCGGTCACCTGCTTCCCAAAGCTCCAAGGGCAAACTTCGGGGTCCTCTTACAAGTCAACTGTAAACTTTCGGGTTGTTTGTTACTGATCAAGTCAGGGAACTGCAGTGTTTTAAAGAGAACACCTGGACGGGCAGGAAAAACCCACATTTTGTCCCTAGGAGAAGATCACTCGGGGGTGGGGCACAAATGCCCGTGCAGGCCACAGGGAATGGGGACTTAACTCATCCCTACAGGTTCCCACGGCTCCTCATCTAACACTTCACTTTGGAGGCAGCTCACCGTGGGCTGAGCGGCAGTCTGACGTCTCCTCCACAACTCCTGGGGGGGGTTCACTCGGGGGGGGGGGGTTGGGGAAATGCCAGAAATAAGCAGGTTTTCAAAAACGCCACGAGGTACTCATAGCCTTTCTAACGAAGGGCTCCCCTAAGAGCCCAGCCATGCAGGGGCCAAGGGAGCAAGGAAGGCTGGACAGCGGTGGACCTGCTCCTGTCCAGGGGCAAACCCTGCCCACGGCAGCTGTGTGTGCACAGACAGGAGACCAGAGGTGGACTGGGAACACGGCCTCCTTCTGAATGACCGGGGGAGGGGTGAATTTCAAGCGCCCAGAAGGCACTGTCCTCAGAACAGGGACAGGCAAGGAGCAACTCCAACCGCAAACATCTCCCGAGGGGCGGGAGTGGGAAGGGCAGAGCAGACCAGGCCAGAGGTGGCAGCTACAGACACGATGCATCTCCTAGAACCTCACGGACACACTGGCCCGTGTGCTGCCATTGCCCCCAGAAGGCCACCCGCCACCCAGAACTCCGAGACAAGCAGAGCCTTCCCCTCACACAAGCCAAACATCTCTGCTCCCAGAATAGCTCTCACGGCTCTGCAACTGAATTTTAAGAGGCCTGCCAGCTGCCCCTGGTCCAGACGAGACAGCTAAAGTGATCAGAGCAGAAGTCGGCCCCCAGGAGGAAAGGCTAAAGCAATCGGGAGTGGGCAGAGATGAAGCCTTGGCCCCCGAGGCAGCACGGCCACAGGGCACGGAATCCTGGAAGCTCAGACCTAGTGAGCAAGCCTAGAGGACTGGGGCTGGGGCATTTCTAGGGCAAATACAGTCAGGAAGTCCTTTGGCAAGAGGTGGCACTTCCAGACTCCATCACCCACAAGAAGGTCGTGAGCCTGAACAGAGACAGGCCACAGAGAATTTGGGTGTGTCCCTGGAGGGCGGCCCCAGAACAATGGCAACCTGCATTTACTGAGAGGCCCACTCTTCTGAGCTGTTCTCGGGAGATGGAGCCTGGTTCTGGGTGGGTGACTGGTCCATTTAGCTCCTCGAGATCAGGGCCCAGGCCCAGAGCCCTGAGGTGGGAGACAGAGGACATGTGGGTGGTAGACCCAGGGCCAGTTCTCATCAAACAGTTCGAGTCAGAGGTCAGCTTGCGGAGGGACAGGCAGGGAGTCTCTGCTGCAGAAACCTCACGAGGCCTGTGCCATGTGTGTGAAGCCACTGACTCCTGGGGGGCGGGTGACATGGACCTCCTGGAGGCAAGCCCCGAGGACAGGCCCCAGAGGCCCCACGCTCCTGAGGCCAGTGCGGGCAGGAGTGGCGCCCACCTGGGTGTTCTGCGTGGGGATCTGCAGGGCCAGGGCCAGCGCGCTGTGGTCGAAGTTCTCGTCCAGGGCCAGCAGGGCGCCGTGCACGCCACTCTCCTGCAGGTTGCCCGCGTAGTCCCGCAGCCCGACCGACTGCACCCAGCGAACCACCTGCTCATTGGTCCAGACCAGCACATCTGGAGGAGGAGGAGCGGAGGAACCAGGCTCACTGGGTCTCCGGGACAGAGGAAGCTTCCCAGACCAGGGCCCCCGCGGTTCCTGCTCATGGGCTCCCATGCCCACACCCCTCTCTCTGCCCCGATACCGGGTGCCCTGAGCACCAGCCTGTACGACTCAGGGTCTGGCAGGTGGGCTCCTGCCTTTTCCCCGGGTCCCCGCCCCTGGGCTGCAATGGCTTCTCCTTCCCCCTTCAAGGTCTACTTCCCATCCAGCCTGTGGGTAGTGCCACTATCTGGAGGGGTGACAGCTCACTGCGCAGGGGCTCTTTCTTCTCCACCACCTGAGGGCAGCATCCTCCGGGCACGGGCCTCGTGTCCCCTCGGTTCCAGCCAACGACTCACCCTTGATCTCGTGCTGGCTCTCCTCCCGCCTCCTCTCCAGCTCCTTCCGGTCATAGTTGAGCCTCTTCAGACACATGATGCCGTACTGAAGGCTGGTTCTGCAGGCACAGAGCCCCCGCCCCGCCACTGCCTCAGGGGCCCTGCTCCCGTGGTCTGCCCCGGCCCACAACCACCTGCTCCTCCCCTGTTCTCGGCCACTGCCTCTGCCTCCCCGCCCCACCCTCCCCGCCCCACCCTCTCAGCCCTTCGGACCTGCCAATGGGAGAAAGGTTCTCAGGGGAAAGTGGCCTATCCCTCCCTCCCTCCGAGGAACTGAGGGACAGAGACCTGACGGCCCACCCACCACAGGAAAAGCAGGAGCAGGACGTGCCTTTGTGTTCCCAGGCACTGGACTCCTCACAACAGCCTCGAGATGCTCTAGGTCTTCCCGCCTCTGGGCTCCCAGATGTCATTCCCTGCCCCTCGGTGGCGGGCGGGGGACAGCCCTGTACCCCTGCCCACAGCCTCAGGACCTTTGCACCAACTGTTCTGCTGCCCAGAGCCGGCCTGCTTTCCACCTTTGCTGGAACATCCCGTGCCCACCTGACTACGTGACGCCCCCACACACTCCTCGCCTGGCCCTCATCTTCCCACCCTTCTTGGTGCCCACATCTCCCACCACAGTCAGCAGAGAAGCTCCAGGCGGCTGGGAACCCTGCTTTGCTCCCTGACGGCTGTCACCCCCAGAGCAGTGGCCGGCACACGACTCACGTCCCAGATGCCAGTGAGTGCGAGCACTGAGAGCACTCAGGGGACAGCCCGGACCTGGCGGAGAACCGCAGAAGCCGGGGGCTAGATGGGCCCCCCCAAGGCCGTCCCTCCGAACACCTGCCTAATGTGGGAGCCGGGGCGCCTGGGCCTCAGCACCTCAACTGACAGAGAGCTCACTGCCTCTCGGCAGCGATCAGAACGCCGCCCCCTCACCCCTCCCCTCCTCTCCCAAATACCACCAGCGCACAGCCTCGGGATGCGGTCCCCGGCAAAGCCAAGGGACGGGGGCAGAAACTCCCTGCCAAACCCAACTTCTCTCCCCTCTGTGGCTGAGGTCACTGCTCTGTGAGATCGGACCATGCAGACAGCTCCCTCCTTCGGCTCTGCAGCGCCCCGTCGTCCCCCCGCCCTAGTGCCTGGAGCAATTAATTACTTTGCAGCTCAGAGACACCCCTCCAGACAGCGCCAGCAAGAAGCTAGTGTTGGAAAAGACTTCCGAAAGCCTGCCTCCCCTTAAGCCATACCCGGCCCCCTGCTCTCAACCCAGATGCCTCCGGGGGCCCCGCAGGTGTTTACTGCACGGGGACTGGCAGGCTGCAGGGGCTGGAGGAGCCTACAGCCGGGGAGGTGGCGGGGATGGCAGCCACTGCCTGGCCCGTCCACTGCTCAGTCCCTGCTACAATGTGTCCACAGAGCTTTCAATTTCCAAAGAACCAGACATCCAAAATTTGGGGTAAAATTTCCTAGTGCCCACATTCTGGCAACTAAATTCCTAATCATAAAACTACCAAACAAAACACATCTGTCAGCCACATTCTGCCCAGGGGCCGCCAGTCCAGGGCCCCCCCGAGCAGACACCTCTGAACGGGAGATCTTCTCGGTGAAGAGAACACATCCTGCAGAAGACCCTGTGGGCTCGGAGCTGGGAGGCTCGGAGCCGGAGGCAGATGGGGCCAGGGCCCCAAGGGACCCTCCCCGCAACTCGGAAGGAGCTAGTGGCCCGGCCCAGTCGCTGGACCCTCTGAGTCTCAGGGTAAACACAGAGAACTCAGCAAGCCCAATGACAAGCAACAAAATTCAGCCCTGGGAGAAACTTCCAAGAAAGTGACGCTAAAGAGAAATCACTTTTTGTGTCTTCAGGGTTGAAGGGAGAGAATTTGGCTTTCAAAGGGGGAGCCGTTAACACCCAGGATAGGCCACGGAAAGGGACAGAGCTCCGGTGTCCTGGAGACGGAGCCCAGGGCAGTGGGACCTGGCGGGCGTGGCCGGCCGGCTCCACTCACCGGTGGAAGCTGTCCACCATCTTCAGGTGCACCCGCAGGTCCTTCTTGGTCAGGTGGTCCAGCATGCGTGCGTCCACCAGGCACTCCATGAAGTAGCTGCGGTACTGGGGCAGACCCAGGCTGGGCAGCCACTGGTTCCCGATCCACTCGTGGTTCATGTCCCCGTAGGCCAGCGTCTGGGGGAGGAAGGCAGGGCCAGGCTGCAGCCCGCACGGCAGTTCAGTAAAATTGCGGCTTATTCTCACCCGAGGGCTGGTAGTGGTGGGCGGTGGGGATTTTAAATGGACCTTGTCAGGGTCCCGAAAGGCTACTGATTATCTACGCTGGTGACAGAAGCCGCTACCCAGAGAAAAGGAGCGAGCCCTCCTGCGCCTGCAGCGCCAGTGCCTGTAGGCGGCTGCCAGCTGCATTGGGCGGCCTCAGCCACTGCCACTGGAGGAGGAACTGGACAGGAAAACGCAGGACAGGGCCTGCACTCCCCCACCTGAGCCCCCACAGGCAGCCGCAGTGCGGGCTTTGTGTGGCTTGCATGAAAAAAGTTTTAACAGTTTCACAGGCGCTGACGAGTATTTCTCTGAGCCGGTGATTTCCAACCTCATCCATCTCACGGCACCCGTAAACTACGGGCGCTCTCGGCACACTGAAAAATACGGTTTTGGCCGCTCGGACAAAAGCCAGCTGTGATTCCGTTTCCTTCACGCTGGACAGCTTTGCTGTTGGGCCGCTGTCGTTCTGTCAATCAACAATCTGCAGGAACAGGGCTCGGTGCCCCTGACTGAGCAGGCGCCTCACGTGTTAAACGTTCTTGCGGCGCACCCGTTGAGAAGCGCTGCTCCAAGCAATACACCTCTAGTTTTACTCGCTTCTGGGTTTCCACATACAACTCTGAGGGTGCCTTCCTGGGACTCCGACCCCGCGGTGGCCCGGGGGCTGGGCAGGGGCACACTTCCACTGACCGCCTCCCTGTGAGGACTGGCCCCGCTCCACGCCCCTGCTCTTAGGGGCCCCTGCCCAGCCACTGTCCCCAGATTTGGGTGGCTGTTCACTGCCTGTGTCTCCCTAGAACAGAAGCCCAGGAGGGCTTGGATTGCTCACTTCTGTGTCCAGAGCCTGGAGAGGTCCCTGCAGCCGCTCAGGGGTCGTGACCACCTGCTCACGAAGTGAACGGAAAAGCCTTTGCTGACCCCCCCAGGGCTCCCGAGAGGGGCAGAAGGGACGGGACGGTCCTTCCAACCCATGTCTTCTTATTCCTGAAGGCAGTCTCGCTGGGGGAAGAGGCAGGCATGCGGGGGGCACTGCCCTCCAGGGCTCCGAGCCCACCGCCCTGGGAAGCCAGGGCCGTGGTTGAAGGGGAAACGAGGAGGGGGGCTCCTGGCAGGAGCACCCGCCGGGAGAACGCGGCCCAGACGAGGAGGTCTTACCTGGGCCCAGCTGCCCTCCTCACTGTCCTAGCAGGAACCACGCAGCATGAAGGGAAAGGGGCCAAGTCAAGACGGGGCCACGCGCGCCCTGGACCCATCGGGAGAGAGCGAGGCCCAGGGCAGGGCGTTGGCAAGGTCAAGAGAGGACGGGAGGTCGCTGCGGTGCCGTGCGTTTGGTGAGAGGGCAGCAGAGTGAGCGTGGCCGCAACAGAGGCCACCCCCGAACTCATTCCTGGAGGTGGAACCCCGGCCGCCGGCCCGCCCCCCACAGCTCTCCTCACTCCACCTGGAGGGGAGCAGCGGCTGAGGAACGAACCCCTCCTGCTCCCCCCACACACGCTTCCTTCCCCCCAACCCTGCACCTGGGTCACCTGACTCCAGGCCCAGGCCGACTCACTGTTCTAGTGGAAGTTGCCAGAGTTTCCATCTCTTCATGGGTGACCCAGACATTCCCAGAGGACTGTAAGCAGAGAGGAGACCTAGCGGGTCCTGCGCGTGGGTCCCCTAAGGACAAGGACAGAGCTCCCTCCCAGAGTCCTCCCGCAGGCCCCGCCCACTGCCCAGTTCCAAGTCCCACTGCCCGGGCACAGGGACTGGTCACCCAGTGGCCCCTCAGCGAGGGGGCAGGAATGCTGTGGCCGTGGGACGAGGGCCGTCTGGCCAGAGGTGCATTCCCGAACGCCCACCCCTCAGCCCTGGAGGGGCTGAGCTAAGCTCTGGGCTGGCGGCAGAGCCTACAGGGTGTGGGGGAGGCAGGCACTGGGCCTGCCGCACCCAGAATTGACGACACCCCCCTGCATGCAGAGCAGGAGGGCCCTTTGTGGGGTGGGAAGGAAGAGGAGGACCCAGCCTCGGTCTCGCCCGAGACCACGAGAGCCCCCGCAGAGCTACTCCAGGGCCTGCGACTCCGTCCTGGGGCTCACTCACGGTCCTGGAGGTGGGCGGGGCCGAGGGGCTGGTCAGCGACACCATCTCCTGGATGGCCAGCCGCAGCTTGAGCCGGTGCAGGGCGTTGCTGATGCCGATCTCCCGCTGAATCTCCGTGTCCGACAGCGCAGACATGATGGCGCCGCTCTTGACATTGGCCCGGCAGGCCGCCACGTACCAGGCCGGCATGCCTACCCAGAGCTGTGGGCACAGGCACGGGGCTTCTCAGCCCTTCCCCAGGAGCCGGGCAGCACCCCGGGCAGCGCCAGGCCCAGCCACGGCCTCAGGAGAGCAGACACCCTCATTCCCTGTCTACAGCGGAGACTCTGAGGCCTGGGGAGGGGAGAGCTCTTGCCACCCGGGGCGCCTCCAGGAAGAGCGCCCGCAGCTCAGCAGCCAGGTCACCCTCACCCAGCGAGGGCATCGCTGGGAGCTGTTGCGCGTGGGGGGTGGGGCAGGTGCCAGGTCACACACACGCCTGGCAGGGGAGGAGCAGGCCGGGGACAGTCCTGCCGTGGAGGCCTCGCCCGCACCTGGGCCCCTGACTAGACCCTCTGCCGGCCTACCTCCAGCCAGGAGACCACCGTGGGGCCGTCCCACTGGGCGAAGGGCGTCCCTTTCCTTCGGGCGTCTTCAAGCAGCTGGTGCCTTGTAGGAAGAGCAACGGACTCAGCAGTCCACCCTTGTCTTTCCGCCATGCCGACTCCCAGGGACCAAGGACTGCGCCTCACCCCGGGACTGCCACCTCTGCTCTGCGCCAGGAGCAGCAGGACACCGAGACACAGGGAGGGCAGGGGCGCTCCCTCCTAAATGGTGGGGGGACTGCTCTGTCCGAGCCCCAGCACCGCCTCCTGGCCCCCAGCCCCTGCTGGGCCCACGCAAAGCCACCTCAGTCCAGCCTTGCTGAGCTCTGGCTGCTGAGCCCCCTCCCCTCACAGCCCAGGGGACGACGGGCAGTGGCACCCAGGCTGCCTAGTGGCTCTTACTTCTTCTTCAGCCGCCGGTCCTTCTCTGCCTGGGTGCCCAGCTTGGCAGGCACCAGGGACTCCTGCAGCCCAAGCTCGGAGTCTGTTAGGGGACCTGGAAGGGAAGCGACACCAAGTCAGCCAGACCCTCTGCCTGTCCCCCCCTGGCCTGACCAGGACTGGTGGGGAGACTAGCAGGAAGCTCCTCAGCCCATAAAAACCCAGGGCCTGATGGGACCGCCCACAATTCCTGGAGCCCCTCCTAGGACGGGAGCAGAGACCATGGCCCGTGGCTCCGTCCCGGCTCAGCTGGGTCAGCCGGCCCTTCTCCTTCTTCCCAAACAGGCGGCCGATGGATGACTTGATGCCTTTGCGCTTGGCGCCTTTGTGCAAGGAGTCCTGGCTGCTGTTGCTGCTGCTGGGGTTGCTTCCTGGGTCCTCCGCAGCACTGCGGGTGGCCACGGGGGGCAGGCAGTGGGGGAGGGGGGCAGGAAATGAACGTCAATCACAGCAGGAGGGCCGCAGGTCAGACCATGGGAAGAACTTACAGTAGTGTCAGAGTGGGGTGGGGGTGAGGGGGGAGATCCCAGCAGGTGACAGGGGAGATGTGAGACTGTCTTTCCCCATGGTGTTTTTCACAGACAAGTGAGCTGCTGAGACACCTGGGCAGGTGAGATGGCCTTGGGGACGGACAGGTGGGGCCACTCCCCTTACCTCTTGCCTTCCTCCTGGCTCAGGGCTGGGTGGCCGAGCTTCTCGAGCCGCAGCGTCCTGGGTGAGGAAGGAGGAGAAGTCTCACATTTTATGGTGGCTTTATCCTCTCGGTTCTGTTCCCGAGACACTGGTGGCTGAACAGACAGCGGAGCCATCAGGCGATAGAGGGGGAGAGCTGGGGGCACAGTGGGGAGGTCCAGGGGCCCGGGGAAAAGCTGTGGGGGGGGGCCGAGGACTGACTACAGGGCCCGCATCAGGCCACGCTCACCTGCAGCTTCCTCCTGTGCTTCCTCAAGTCGCTGGGCTGGAAGAGACAGAAGCTGGGCTCAGACTCCCCTCCAGGGACCAGAGTCCACTCCGCAGGGAGCCCCCGGTCTCAGGAGCACACAGACTTGGTGCCTACTGCAGGCCCGGAGACAACATCACCTTTGAAAACAGCTGGCCCAGAAAACCAAGCCAGGGCCCCTCTGAAAGAGCAGGTGGTGTGGGCAGCTGTGGGTTTCTGGAGCACCTGCACATGCACCTGCCTAGGGAGGGGCCCTTCCCGAGATCAGGGCGGGCCGCTGGCCCAATGCCCACTGTCTGTGCCTGTTACGGGGAGACGCGTGGCCTTCGCCAGTCCCCGAAGCTGAGCCCAGGGATGGCGGGGCCGTCCCAAGACCCACCAAGGTCATGACCCCCATTCGGTCCAGGTCTTGGGCAGCACTGCGAGAGGTTCCCGTAGGTGTGGCTCGGCTGACGACTGCAGGGGATCCGCTGGCCAGGGACAGGGCTGTCAGAGAGGTGGGGATGGCGCCACGCCTGTGCAGCTGGGGCAGGTCGAGGGCCTCCATGCTGCCGCTGGTCACTCGGGTCTCAAGCTCCTCGGCTCGGAGCTGTGTGGACTCCTTCTCCTCCTGGATCATCCTGGGAGGTGGCAGAACCTGGTGTCAGCCCCAGTGGGCCAGCAGGAGGCGGGTGTTTCCAGCATTGCCGGGCACATCCCACAGCAGCTTGGAAACACTGTCCTACTTTCTCGTGTGCTGGGCCAGTGGAACAGAACCCCCCAGTTTAACCAAAGCAGTTGCTGGGACGGGAGGCACTTCAGTGAGCGGAGCACAAACCTGCTGGACACCAGCAATCTCGACCCGCCGCCAGCTACGGGGTGGGGGTGGGGGGGGGCGCTGCAGGCAGGCCTGGGCTCTCAGGTCTGTTTCCCAGCACGGGAGTGGTCTGCACCCCAAACACAAGACCTTTTGCTGACGCTGACCCCTGACAGCACGTTCCCCATTCAGGGAATGGGAACAATGACAGTGGGGGTGGGGGTGGCGCTCAGAGGGGAGCGAGGGAGCCACAACCCACAGGCCTCTGCAGCTCTGACGGTGTCTCACTCAGATCTGCTGTCGGCCATGAACATGAACCGCCTCCTCCCCGAAAGGCAGGTTCTAGGCCTGTCTCGGTGACTGTTTCAGGCCTCACCGGGGAAGTGGGGACCCACATGAACCCTGGCTCTGCACCTCACTGCTGCTTTGGGCAAATCGGTCAGCCTCCCCGTCTGTGTTCCAAAGTGGGGACACTGCTGCCTCCCCAGAGACTGCGGCGAGACTGGCCACAGGCTTGGGGAGCGGGACCCGCCCCTCAGCATCTGACACAGCAGCTCCTGGCCCCGGGGTCCTGGCTCTTGGTGCCTTGGGCCCAGTCTTGGGCCCAGCGGGGGGCCTGAACCTGGGGCCCAGAGAGGCGGCACTCAGCCTGGCACCCCACCCTGCAGACGCCCTCGCCTGATCTCCTCGTCGATGGCGTCAAGCTGCTCCTGCAGCATCAGGGCCAGGGTCTGTGCATCGGAGCGGCTGCCGGGGGAGACGGTGTCCGCAGGTCTTCCTGGACCCTCCTCGTCCACATCGGAGACGTCAGGGTCACTGTCGAAGGCAGGGGTGGCCGTAGGGGCCCGCACACGTGGCAACGGACACGGCTCCCAGTCCTTAGCAGAGAAGGAAGAGAGAGCAGTCAGAAACCTGACCTGGGGGAGCAGCAGGGACGTCTCTGGGGAGGGGGGTCAGGAGTGCAGAGTCGCAGGACCCCCCCAGACCTACAGGTGCAGAATCAGCACTTTGATAAGTGCTCTGGGTGGTTTATTTGCATGTTGGGGTCTAAGACACAGTCCTGGACTGTTACAAGGAACTGGACATATTGCAGAGACAGATGAGCCCCGTCGAACACTAGTTTTGTGGCCACAAAGAGGCTGTTTATGCGCCCAGTGCCTCGGTTTCCTCATCTGTGTAATGGGGTTGTCATAGTGCCTGCAAGCGGTCGTGAGGATGGCAGCGTCTGGCACAGAGTCAGCACTGTTAACACAAAGGGTGAAGACCCCAGGGCTGTCTCGTGTCCCTGCTCTGCACATGGGAGGGCCCGCCGGTCAAGCCGAGAGGGGGCAGCTTCTCCAAAATCACCCGTGGACCTCCCTGGTGGACAGAGGCCGGTGGAGAGGGCACAGGTTCCTGCAGGCAGGCTCAGCAAGAACCGAGCTGGGACAAGGAAGGGGGCCAGGGCACGGAAGGGCCCGGGGCAGGGCTGTGTTCTTATGAACAAAGTGGTGAGGGGAGAGAAGAAGGTGCCTTCAGACTACGAGTCCCCTTTCTCCACCTGCACCTTCTGGTGGCCGGGAGCAGGTGGGGCCCTGGGTGCAGGACAGAGAGGGCCAGCCCGGAGCCAGGCAGCAGCCAGCCTGCCCCTCCTGCCCCAGGAGGGCTCAGCAGGGACTCTCTGCAGCTTCTCAGGAACCTCCAGGTGCCACCTAAGGGCCAGCCACTCCGTCGTCCCACCCGTCTCCCCATAAACCACGGCTTTGTTCCACAGAGCGTGCCGATGCCCTCCTGCCCCCCCCGGCCCCCACCCCGACCACACGCCTGCACACCCAGGCACACGTGCACACGCTTCAGTGGGGCCTCAGGGGCCAGGAGGCCGGGGGCACAGCTGTTGCAGCTGCCAAGGCCCCACCCCTGGGCCACAGCTGTCGCTGACTTGGAGGGTGGGTGCAGGGAGAGGGTTTGCACCGCACGCCAGCGGCTGTGAAACTGGAGCCAGGCACGTGGCCTGACAGACCCCCAACTCCCAGGAGATGCCCCCACCTCCACCCTCACCTTGGCAGGCTCCTCCCGCAGTGAGTAGCGGCGCCGCAGGCCCGGGGGCACTGTGCTCAGGGAGAACCGCAGGTCCACAGCGCTGCCCGTGTGTGACCTTGTGTGGGGGGCAGGGAGGGAAGGTAGGGAGTGAGCCAGCTCACACCCACTGGGCCCGCAGGGTCTCAGCAGGACAGGAAGCTAGGTCCGTGCCCCAAGGGCTGCCGTGTAGGCAGGAGTTTCATTCACTCTCTGGTGCCTGAGGCATCAGGCATCCAGGGGACAGAGTTCTAGGAAGGCAGTGTTCCAGTTATAAGAAGCACCTTCGAATAGTAAGAGTGGGCTTATGACGCAACTGGCAGCTTTAAAAAAGCTCAGCTTCCCATCCAAGTATTCACAGAGGTCCCGCAGCCCCGACATGTGTGGCGCCGTGATGCTGGAAGGGACCTGGCAGGCCTCTCCAGGTCCTTCGCTCTGAGGGACACAGTCTGCTCCTGGGCCTCCTGCCGGGCCCGTCCCCTCCTCTCCCATCATCTGGGCTACGTCCTGGCCGCAAGCCCTCCCAGACTCACTCCTGTTCTCGGGGAGCTTCAGGAGGCCCTGCTGCTGAACCCTAGAATCTATTCCAGCCGTGGGGTTTTAGGGTCCTGGTGACAACCCTCTGGGATGTCTAGGTGCCCCCCCCAGTCTGGAGCCCTGAGCAAGCCCAGAGCAAAAGGACAGGGCAGGTGACCACAGGCCCACAACACAGCTGGAGAGAGAGGGTTTCTCTTCCCCGCCCCCGATGACACTCTTCTGCCATTGGCCCCAGTTTTGTGATGGGCTCAGGGTGTCTGCAGTCAGAGCCGAGCACCCAACCACTAAGGAAAGCAACTAGCGGCCTGTGGCTGGTGTGCCCGGGGCCACATCTTACTGATTCGGGGGCCGTCTCAACTGCATAGCCCGCAGCAAGACAGGAGTCCCATCCCTGCTTCTAACCACTTCCACACAACGCGTGACCAGTGCGGAGGTGGACCCGAGGCTCACCACTGACGCCCAGACTCACCGCCCTTCCCTAACTACAGCCCTACCCTGGCACACACTGGGTACATTCCCTCCCCTCTCTGCAGGGGAGGGGTCCAAGCTGCCCTGAGATCCCTGCTGCCTAGGGGTGCAGGTCTAAACACTTTGGGGAAAACAGCCAGGAGCTGCAGCTCTTGATTGGACGCTCCCGCTTCAGTCTCCTCCTCATCCCGCCTCTGGGAGGGAACTGCGGGCGGCAGCACACCAACCCTCCAGGACACACGCCGACGAACCCCGAAGTCCCCCACGACGCTGGCTCACTCAAACCCTGGGGAAGCTCCCTTGCCATCTCTGAAAATGCTTTCAGGAAGGGACGCCACCGCCATGGGACTGACAGGAAGGGGCTCCCGGGGCCCCCCACCAACCCCACACCTGCACCCAGGCAGGTGCAGCTCACACAGCAGCTGCGAGGACAGCATCACTGGAGAGCCAGAGGGACCCAACCCTCTCCGTGGACGGGTGGGGAGCCGGGGCAGCCCCCGGTGTCAGGGCTCCCGTCTAACTGCCCAGTGGGCCCTCCAAGCCTCCATGTCCCCACCGCCCCCAGACAGCAGGAGGACCCTGAGGTCCTCAGCAGTCTTTCGGTGGGAGGAAGTCTCTCTCCTCGGGGTCCAGGGAGGACCGCTCCCAGCACGCCCAGCCTCCCACACTCTAGTACCTGAGGTGGACACCATCCACGAACGGCCCCCCGCGACCCTTCAGCTGGTCCACCTCCTGGCGCAGCTTCTCAATCTCCTCGGACAGGCGGCCCTGTGCCAGGCAGAGCCAGGGTGGGGTGGGGACCAGGGAGGGGCAGAGAGGGCAGAGAGGGACAAAGAGGGCAGCAGAGTTGGGGAGACGCAGCCGAACACACCAAAAAGCGCACGGCCAGGGCCCAGGCCGGGCCCGCAGGCCACAGCAAAGAAACGGATCCAGCGGAAGGGCGAGGAGAGGCGGGCAGGCAGGGCCAGGAGAGGGGTGTGTCTGGGACTCAGGAGCAGGTCTGCAGAGCCCTCAGCACACTGGCAGGGCCCTGGAGGCTGGCGGTGCCCCAGAGACACTGCTGAGGCAGCACAGCCACCCATCCTCCCTGGGTCACAGGGCCAGAGGCCTCACTAAGCCCTCTGTTGGGTCCTCACTGGGCCCTGCATCCCTGCTGCCCACCCTAAGCCCTACGCCAGGGCCTCAGGTTCTTCTTTACGTGCGGGTGCAGTGCACCTGCCGCGGGGCTCCCGTCAGGATTAGTGGAATAACGGGTGCTCACAGAACAGCACTGGGCCTGCTGTGCGAGGGAACCACAGCGGCTGTGCCCCGCACAGCGGCGCCTCCCCAGCCTGCCAGTGAGCAGGCGGCTGGGTACCTTGTGGTTCTGCTGCTCCTCGATCTGCCGCTGGGAGCTCTCCAGCTCCTGCATCAGTGAGTTCTGGGGAAGAACAGCAGTGAGACAGGGGCCTGCCAGTGCACCCCTGCCTGACCCCCCGCCCCACTGCACCCTTCTTCACCTTCACAGTGGCTGGTCACAGGCACCCAGGCCATGCCACCCTCACCAACCTCTCACAACGACCCCGCCCCTTTCTCCAGGCCCCGCCCTCCACAAAGCCCCGCCCCTTCCTCTGGCCCACCCCTCCAGCCTCACCCCACAGCACCTTCTCCTCCAGGGCCGCCATGCGCTCCTTGAGGTGGAGCTGCAGGCGCTCGTTGGACTCGCTCAGCAGCCTGTCCACGGTGTCTGACAGCCTCTTGTTGTGGTCCTCGTTCATCTTCTCCCGCTGGCGCACCTGCACGGTCAGCCGGCTTCGCACCGTGCACCCAGAGCTACCCCGCTGCCTGCCCTGGACACCGGTCCACCCACCCCACACTCTCCCTCCCGGCAGCCTCACTCCAGCTCTGCCAACCACCTGCTCCGGCCTCTCTGCTGCTGGGTCCCTGGCCAGGGTCTTCTGCCCACCTGCTTCCTCCCTGCCCTGTCCACAGACCACCCCAGGAGGCTGGGCTGGGCAGGAGGAACCTCACCCTTGCCAGCTCCTGGTTCTTCTCCTCCAGCTGGCCCTCCAGCTGCCGCAGGTGCTCCTCGATGTTGCCGTGCCGTTCCTCGGCCTGGGGAACAGGGACAGGGACAGGTCAGTGGCAGAGCAGACTTGGTCCTGGGATAGCGGGGACAGCCAGGCTGCAGGTACCACCACCAGAGCCCCAAAGCTGCCACGGAAGCACAGAGGCCCTGGGGCGATGCTCAGGATGCTGCTTTCCTTCTCCCCAAGAGTGGGGGATTCGTGGGTGAGGACTGCTCTTCCAACCGAGAGACACAGGTAGGCTTCCTGCAGTGGGGACATGCAGACCCCCAGGCCTGGCCACTTGCCTTGGTGAGGGCCGCAATCCTCTGAGCCAGCTCAGCCTCCACCTCCGGCAGCGTCTCTGCCCTCCGCAGGGTCTGCTGCAGCTTCTGCTCGGCCGTGTCCAGCAGCTCCTGCAGGTGTCGCGCCTTCTCCTCACACTGGCAAATGCATCAGAAGCATCATGTGGAGGGGCTCCCGCAGCCCCGCAGCCCCGCAGCCCCGCAGCCCCGCCAAAACTCCAGGGCAGGAAAGGAACAAGAAACACCCCTGGCTCTTGGCTGCCTGTGGTGACCTGCAGGACCCCAGGGGTTCCTGGGCCACCAAGGGTAGGTCCCCACAGGACAGAGACACCAGAGTCAAGCACGATGCCTCCAGGCCACATCGGGAGCAGGTACCTGGCGGTGCAGGGACTCCTTGTTGGCCAGCTCGTTCTCCAGTTTGTCGTTGAGGTCATGAATGGATGTGGCCTCACGCTGAGCAGCCAGGTAGCGCTTCTCCAGCGTGGCGATTCGCTCCTCCATGTCCTCCTTCTGGGCCAGAGCCTGGGCACGGGAGCAGGGGACATGGGGAAGGCCACCAGCATCTCTCTGCCCCAACCCCACAACTGCCGCACTTAGCACACCGGGCGGGCCGAGCCCTGGTCACCTCCCGCAGGTCCCGCTGATGCTTGCTGCTCCGCTCCTCCGACTTGATGAGGTCCCGGCGGGCTGTGCCCAGGTCCTGCTCCAGCTCGGCCACTGCTGCAGTCAGGGTGGCCAGCCGCTCCCGGGCCTGGCCCAGCTCCAGGTTTTGCTTCTCCAGCAGCTCCTGCAGCTCCTCCAGCCGAACCACATCATCCTGGGGGACGATGAGCCATCGCTGGTCTGTTGTCAGTGCCCCAGGAAGGTGGCAGGAGGGATGGATGGCTGTGCCCCAGCTTCTGAGCACACCTCCAGACACACCTGCCTCCCTCCAGGCCCCAGCTCACGCCGAAGACCAACACCCTTGCTCTGCCGTGTGCCTTTTCAAAAGCAATGGCTTCTAGCTTGACAGGCCATCTCAGCACCCGGTAACCTAGAGAGGGCGTGACTGAGGGACACAGGCTCAGGGACAGACGGGGTCTTGCCTGAAGCTGACACACAGGTAGGTGGGCAAGCACGCTGTGTGCCTAGCAGTGCGCTTGGGGCTACAACAAAAATCTACCCATTTCTCTGTAGGTGGGGTGGGGGGAGGAGGAAAGAGAAGGGGAATATTGGAGGAAGCCCCGAATTCAGTTCCAGCAGTCACTCTACAGAACAGGAAGGGGCAGGACCCCCACCTCCTGTCTGGGGAAAACATGCCCCCCGCTATGCGGTCCCCATGACCCACCTTCCACAGGCGCTTCAATCCCAGGTCCACAGACCCCTCTTCCTCTGCCGCTCCATCCCGAACTCCTGCCACCTGCTGCAGGGCAGACACCTGCAGGGCACAGCCCCAGCGCAGTGAGTCAGAGACAGGAGGACCTGTCCTGTGCTCCAGACCCTTTCGGGGCACCCGCCGCTCCTCAGCCAGCAGTCTCCAGCCAAGACAGCAAGCCAGCAAGCCAGCAAGCCAGCAAGGGGAATCTGACGAGGAGCCGAGTGGGGCAAGGGGGTGAACCAGCCTTGGCTTCCAGCTCAAGTGCAGGTGGAGGGTGGGCAGGTGCTTACCTGCTGGTGGGCACCTGCCAGCTGCTCCTCCAAGGTAGAGACTCGCTGCAGGGCCGCCCGCAGCCGCTCTCGCACCTGCCCAAGGTAAGAAGGTGAAGGGTGGAGGAGGAAGCAGAGACCCCACTGAATGCAGGGAACAGCAGGGCTTGGCCGACCACTGCTGGCACGAGGCACAGAGGCTCCGCCAAACACAGTTCTGGGGAAACCTAAGTGGAGGGCCTGGGCCCTGGGCAACAGCCGAGGGGGCTCCCAACGAAGCTGGAAGGCAGCTTTCCTCCCATGGGGGTGCAGAAGTCACGGAGGAGGGGGCCAGGCTGGTACCTTCTCGTCCAGGGCCTTGTGGTGCTCAAACAGAGACTTGAGGGCCTTCAGAACCTCCACCTCACTGGAGACCCCTGACGGTGACTGGGCCTGGCGTTTCACCACAGTCATACGCAGCGAGCGCTCGTGGCGGGACACCAGGCACTCCAGGTGCTCCAGGAGCAGCTGGCCGGGAGTAAGGAGGCCGGGGAAGGGCCCAGGTGAGCACAGCCGGGTATACCCCATGCCGGCAGCCCTAGCCTCTCCCCTGGGACCCCGACTGCAGGTGACAGCCAGCGCTGATGGTGGAACCATCTGGCTGTCACCCCAGACACAAGGCGGGGATGCACCTGGCCTGGCCACGGGGTCCACCCCACACACATGCCAGGTCACGCCGCTCACCCTCGTGTTGTTCCGCTCTGCTTTCAGCTCCGATATCTCTTCCTCTCGCTCTAGAAGCTGCTCCCGACACAGGCTCAGCTCCCGGGTCAGGGTGGCAAATTCCTGAAAACCCCACAGCCCCTCACTGGCTGGGGCTCCTCTGACCCTGCCCCCGGATCACTGCCTTTCCATCCAGGCCCAGGGAGGTCACGCCTGTCACACCCTGGCAGGCCCGGCCGGTGCTGGCTCACACCCCTGCACTCACTCTGTCACAGGACTCCACAGCACACGAGGGCCACCACCCCCAGCAGACTGGTGCTCTGTCCTCGCCCCTCCCCCAGCGCTGCCTGGTTCAGCCCCCAGAATGCCTCCCACCTGCCTCCCCAACTCAGCCCACCTGACACAAAGCACAGCGTTGTCGGGAGTATTTCCAGCTTGTCTCACGGCTCCTTTCCATTTGCCCTAATACCTCATCAACCTGAGTCACCTGCTGTTTCCACACCTTTGCTGCACAGGTCCCCCCCCCACCCCCCGGAGAACCCAACCCTCTGTCACCACGTGAGGGGATCACATCCCCCTCAGGACCTGCCCAGCCCCCCCGCTCTGAAAACCACCCGGAACGGTGGGGAGAGCACCCACCACACACCAGGCCTGTGCCAGACTCCCAGACAGGGCCCGAGACACGTGACCCCTGCCCCCACTGAGCTCCCGGTGCGGGGCTGGGGTGCAGTCTCTGCTCTGCCCCACACGCCATGTGATCTCGGACATGTCACTGAACCTCCTCCCTCTGATCCGGGAGGCAGAGGCCCCGTCCTCCAGTGTCACTGTGAGGACCCAGAGAGCCACCTGCTCACACTTCTCCAGTCCCTGGGGCTCGTGTCTGTCTCAGTCCTGGGCTGTGAGCACCAGGGGTGGAGACGGGCTACCTGCCACCCCAATTCTGCCCCGGGGCCCCGTCGTGCTACTGAAAAGGTGACAACCAGACTCTGGGCCCACACTGGTCCCCACGTGGGGACAGGCCCGCAGCTGCGTGTTGAGCAGCCTGGTTCTTTGGAGCCTCGCCAACAGCGGGGCAGCCATGAGCCACTCACTGGTCTCAGGCTCTCATGTCATCGTCTGTGAGACAGACAGATGCTGGCAGCAGCAACACCTGCGTCAGAGCCACAAGGACCTGGGTGAGTCTCAGGGAGCACACACCGGTTGGTGCTGCTGCTGACCGAGGAGCGTGACAAGTGTCTGGCTCCTGCCTATTCTTCTCTGTGGAACACCTCTTGTTTTTTAATCTAGGTGATAAGAGGGGGCTCCCCACCCAGCACCTCCAAGAACAGGGTCTGGGGAGCAGCAGCCAGTCTCGGGTGCCACCTGCTGGCCACAGTGGCTCATTGCAACAGGCAACTCCAGCAGGGTTCCTGCCCGCATTTCTCCAGGGCACCAGAGTGCATCCCGCAAGGGGCTGAGGAGCCGTGGAGGCTCTGTGGATTCCACCCGCCCAAAGGCAGCTGCAATGCCCTGAGCTGAGGGTCCCAGGACGCTGGGCTCAGCAGGGTTGAGGAGGGGCAGAGAGAAGTGCCGAGGTCAGGCCTTACCTGGGGAAGGGCAGAGTTCAGGTGGCGCTGCAGCTGGTCACGCTCATGAAGAGCATCCTGGAGCTGGCCCTGCGTAGCCACCAAGGTCTCCTGACTCTCTCGGAGGGACTCCAGCAGCTTCTCCCGCTCATCCAGCATGTTCACCATCAGCTGCTCAAAGTTGGCGTCTGTATCGGCGCTGTGTGGGGGCCCCAGAGGGTCCCCCTCGTTGATTGTGGGCATCACCTCACACATGGTGGGGGTGGGCAGGGCCTTCTCTCATGGGGGACGGGAGGGGGGTCACAGGACTGGCACCTCCAGGAGGACTCAGTGCACAGGTCTCAGAGTGGGCAGCGCCAGGCGAATGGACAGGTGCACCAGGGCTTCTCCCGGGGCATCAGTTGCTCTTGCTCTGAAAGGGGCCAGGTGCCCAAAGCGCCCCTGTGGAATGGAGCCCAAGGACCTGGCTTAACTGGTCAGGGCTGGGGATGGGTGCCCCGTGTCCCCAGGCAGGCGAGCAGCAGCCGAGCGCGGCCATGGCGGGCAGCAGCGAGAGGGGCTGGAAGAGGCTCCCGTGCTTAGACTGAGCACTGGAGCCAGGCAGGGTCCCCACTGGGCCCAGCGACACCCATGGTCCTGGAGGGCAGTAGTCTGCGGGAGAAGAGACTGCCGTGAGGCCTGGCGGAGTGAAACGGGGTGTCCAGGGAGGGCGGAGGGAAGGAAGGGAGGTGCAGCCCCTTCTCGGCTTACTCAGTTCTCCTGAGGAATGCTCTGCCCACCCACAGCCTCTGCCCCCTGCTCCCACACCTCAGCTGTCAGAGTGCAACGCACAGGAGTGGCTCCCCCACTCACGTGGCTCCCTGGCCAAATATAGAAATGATTCAGTTAGCGGCAGGCTGCCCAGAGCCCTCCTGAGACCTGGGGTGGGAGAGGGTGGGGGGAGGAAACAGGGTCTCTGCCCCTCTTCCCCAGCTTGCACCCCACACTCTGGCCAAGGTAGGCAGAGAAGGGGCTGCAGGGCTGTCAGTGCCGCTGGGTCCCACACAGGGTGGCTCTGCGTGGGTCACTGGTGCACCACGGCTCCTTGGAGCAGCTTGGGCTGGCACACAGGCTCGGCACTCGGGGAGGAGGCTCTGGCTCAGCGCCCCCATCCCGGACCCTGGCATGCAGCCTCAAGTGTTCATTCTGCATTCACTGCTGGGCAATCCAGGGGACCCAGGACGGACGTGGGGTGGGGCTGTCACTCTCTCAGGGCAGGGTTGGGGTGGGGGCTGCTCAATGCTTGGCATCTTCTCCCCCCCATGGAACTGCCCATTGCTGGTGCTGCCGGAAGCAGCGGCTGGGGCAGTTAGCATGGGCACAGCCTGGCTCCAGGAACGCCACGGGCCTGGCACGAAGATGCCCAGAGGTCAGGGCATGGAGGCGTGATGAGGAGGGCCGCATGCGGCTGGGGGTTTTCTGCCTGCAGCGGTTCTGACGTCCCTGCTGCTGGGAGGCCACCACCCGAGTCACATGCAGAGGGAGCTGCCCTCGGAGCCCCTGTGACACGAGATAAAATGTGAGGCGCCCCGCACCGCAAGGCCCCTCAAACAGTACTTTCCTTCCTTGCCCTTCCCCTGCCCACATGGGAGACACTGGGACAGCTTCTTCTCCACCCCTCAGGTGGCAGGCTGGGAGAGGACAGGACACGTGGGGACCCAGTGTGAGGTCGTAAGTCAGACACTGGGCTGAACCCAGCAGGAGAACCAAAGAAGGACCAAGCCTCTTCCACCCAAACCCACCTGCCACCCACCCCCAGAGTCCTGGTGATGCAGGCAGAAACAGGGACTGACAGGGAGGCTGGGGGGGAACGTGGGCCTGGACCACCCAGAGGCTAGGGAGCCAGCACGAGAACCGCAGAGCTCACTCCACAGCCACCCCTGAGGGCCCAGTGGTTACGGCAGGCATGTGTTTGCCCACACACATGCACACGGGAGAAGACAGGACATACATACATGTGGAGATACATGTGCTCCCAGACACACTCTGACCCATGGGATCCTGTCCCCAAGCTGACAGTCACCACGGAGGCAGAAAGTAGGACCCTGGTCTGCACCTGCCCCCCTCACTGCCACGTCCCTGCCCTCCCAAACGGCAGAGGCCAGACCTGCCATCTCACTGATGCTGACAGCCATCCCTCCCACACCCACCCACAGTGCCCAGGACCCTACTCCCGGAGGGCTCCACCTGTGAGGCTGAAGGCCGCACGGGCCCCCACACCTTTCCAAGCTCAGCACGGCCAGGTTCTCACCCCTCTCCCTCTCCCACACCTGCCCCAAGAAGAAATGAGGGCACGGAAGAGGAGGCCAGGCTGGGGCAGGAGCCCTTGTGTCAGAAAGCATGCTGAGGCGCTCAGGGACGCTGAGCGTAAAGGGACCCAGAGCTGGCGCCGAGGAGAGCAGCTGGGCGGCCCTGGGCTCGTCACCGCCTGCCGAGGCCTCTGCTGTAAGATGAAACCCGTGACCCGTTTTGCCCACCGTAGAGGGACAGACTCAAGGGTAAGCAGGGCCTGGAAACGCAGAATGCGCCACGACTGCAGGGGAGTAGGGCCCACCCAGTGGGGCAGGTAAGGGTGGGCTTGCGGGTGGGTTTTTGAAGCTCTTTACAGGAAAGGGCTGGGAAGTGTTCAGCCCGCCCGCTGTGACATGCTAGCTGGTCCAGCTTGGCCTCTTCCAAATCCTCCTGGTCATTCTGGCAACTGAGAAGCTGGCTGCAGTGCCACCAGCCCTCCCCAGCCTCCCTCCAACCAGGTGCCAGGAAGCGACACCACTTCCCCCAGCACCAGCACGTACATCCAGGTGCCCTGCTGAGGGCACCAGTGTGGCAGCCACAAGGGGGCCTCCTTCTGGCTATAGGACTCCATCAGCAGGCTGCCACCTCGACCCAGCATGGCCCTTCCACTCTGGCATGTCCCACCAGTGACACACTCATGTCCTGGTCCAGGGGCAGAAGCCACCCTCCCCAAAGCCGGCATTTGTGGGGGGTCTGTGGGTGACACCGCAGAAGGGGTCTCCAGGTGAGCAAGGGTGTGAGTGTGTGTAGAGGAAGGGGCTGGGCAAAACCAGGCCTGTGGGCTCACGAACGTGGTGGACACAAAACCTCCGAGGCCTCTAGGACTCCCCTGAACTTAGCCCTGCCTTTTCCTAGCGAACGGGAGGGATGGGCACTTGAGTCTGATGCTCTGGCGGGTCACACACTCAGGCTGGCTCCCTGCAGCCCTACCAGATGGCAGCCCCACCACTGCGAGAGAAAGCGGCAAGGGCCAGGCTGCCACCCTGCAGAGGCCATGGGGCCAGTGCCTAGCTGCCAGCGAGTGCTTAAATGCAGGGCCCACAAGCTGGGCCAAGAGGGAACCTCAGGACGTGAGCCCCTCGTAGCAAAGGGATAAAAGGAAGGTCATCCACCCTACCACCTAGTTACATTATATATACACGTGCTCCTAAAATCACAGTACACAATGGACATTCCTGTAACATACATGTAACTAACACTGTTCAGAGTTAAAGACCTAAACCCACACACCATGCTCAATGGGCCCTTGGGGGTTTCACTGTATTTACTGCCGACAGACTCGAATGACACCTCACTGAGGTGGAGCATCACTGTCCCAGGTCCTCAGAGGCTCCTCTGTTCCAGGTTGAATGGTTCCGGTTGCAGGGAGGCCCCGCTTCCGTGCAGTGCTACAACGATGCACTGAGCAGACTTCCACAGACCCCATGCTGAGCTGGGTCTTGTTATGGGTACCAAAGGCCCATACGATGCAATCCCAACCCTCAGGAAGTTCATGGCTACTTGAGAGAACGCAGCTACACAAGCAACAGTTGGACAGCACCCCAGGCAGAGGAGCATGTGACCGACCACCCAGCAGCTGGCACAGGCCGGGGGTCGGCCTGGGGGCCCGTTGCGGTCTAACCCACTGACTTTGCTCCTCCCCTCCCTTAGAGTGGAGCGGCTCCAGCGCAGACCTGTCTGGCCTTGGAGCTGGCGTCACCTGGAGAAACAGGAGAGCCTCGAGGGAGGCGGGGACTGCAGCACCCAAGGCTCTCTGAGGGCAGAGCTGTGAGCCTACTGGGTGATTCTTCGGGCTCTGGGGCTATACCATCCCAGCCCCTAGGAGCAACCCTTCAGAGTTTTTCTCCAAGTAACTTTTACTCTGATGGCCACTCAAAGGGGCACGTCTGCTCCTGCAAGCCAGCCCCACAGGCCTTCCAGAGCTAATTGTGGATCAGTGAGCTGGCAGGCCAGAGGGGGCACAGAGGGTGACTTCTGGCGGCTGCAGTGCCCCACTCCCTACCCTCCATGCTCCCAGGTCTCCACCTGGGACCTGGGGCAGCTTCCTGTCCATCAGTACCCCCTGCTCCATACCGAACCCTCCTGTGCAGCTCCAAAGCTCCAAAGACGACGCCGTGGTTCCACAGCAACCCATCCGAAGGCCTAAGCCCCAGCCAGAGGACTCCTGGTGAGAGGACCCCTGCCCCTGGCACGAAATCGTTTCAGCAGCTGCCATACATCCTGCAGCCCTCGGGGCCCCCAGCTCCTGCTGAGTCTGAGCCCTGCCTCACTGCCTGCTCAGCCCGACTCCTCACCCTGTCCCCAGCTCCCTCACCAGGGCTCTGGTCCTTCCAGAGCCTGACTGACAAGTCTCTCCAGCTCGGAGTCCGGAGTGAGGGAGCCCCGGGAGCCTGGCTGCTGGCCCTGCCCACCCCCAGCAGCACAGGCCCCAGGGCTCTGACATCAGGACGGCTGGGCAGCACTCACAGGGTGAGCAAGAGGGTGAGCACTCCCTCCACGCCCACTGCCATTCAGAGACTGGACATCCCACTGAGCCAGGGGTCACCACAGACAGCGGTTACCTGGCACAGCATCAGCCAGGTAACCACTGTGCCGGTCACTGTCCCCTTAGTCTGAGGTACCATGTGCCCCACACAGCCTCCTGAGGCCTCAGGACAAAATCCTAGAGAAGAGCCAGGGAAAGCTTTCCCACCGTGCCCCCTGCAGAGGCAGCAAGTTAACAGTGGGAGCGGGTGGGTGACTCAGAGTCCAGTTCGGACCCTTCTAATCCAATGACAATATAACAAAGGGGGGTGTGGAGGGGGGGTGGACAGAGTGCCTGCTGTGTGGCCTTTCAACTGCCCCACAGCCTTACATCGCTTCAAAGGACCCAGCAACTTGCACTGTGCCTGGTTTACAGTAAGTACCCAATAAATGTTTGCTGAATTGTGAACTAAGTACTAAGTATCAGTCCCATGGCCCCTGGAAAGGCTGAGGAGGTCCCTGAACCCTGGCTGCTGCAGGGTCCCCCTCAGCTCCCGCCGGGGGAGAGGACTCCCCCCCCCAAGCACAGCCGTGACCACTTGTTCACCACCGGCAGCAGCCGAGCAGCAGCGGCCCCTCTAACGGACACCGCCCGGACGCCTCCCTCAGAGGTGACATCAGCGCCTCCTGGCCGTCTGTCCCCCACCCCCATCCTTCTCAGAGACAAGCGCCCACAGCACATTTCCACGTCCTCCAGCCAGCCCGGGCCGCTCTCCTGCCGCTCGTCACCGAAAGCTGCAGGGTCTGCTCTGGGAAAGGCGCTGCGGGGTGGAAAGTCAGCTCTGCGCCCGCACCCTCCCAGCCCTTTCCCAGCAGCGCCACCCTCGCCCCCGCCTTGGCAGACCTCGGCGGCCCTGCAGAGACTGGCATCACAGGCTCTGCTCGCGTCCGGCAGCAGGAGGACAGGAGCCAGTGACAGGGAGAAGGGGCACTGCAGGTGAGGCAGGGAGGCTGAGGACCCCCACCTCAGGGGAGCCCGACGTCCTCGGACCCTCATGTGCCCCAGGTATCTCTAGGGCGGAGCTGACCAAGGAGCTGAGGAGCTTCTTCTTCACTCTCCTGGGACTGGGTGGGGGTGGCACAAGAGCGCAGTCCCTCCGGCTTCCATCAGACCCCCAGCTCAGCCCCCTCCTCCGAGGCCGACAGCGGGGCGCAAACTCCACCCCACACAAACTGGGCATCGCAGCCAAGCTCACCCCAAGGGCGGGGGGGCAGCCACGGTCCGCAAAGGGGGCGGAATCTACGTCTGCAGAGTGAGAGGGGGCTGATGCCAAACGCACGCGCCAGGCACTCCTCCCCAAACGGTGCAGCAGCCGGAGGGGGGAACATAGACATCCACCCCAAGCCCGGACTCTGGACCCTCACCTGCCTGCAGTCTCCGAAGACAAGACTGGAGACGCGTAGGTCGGCTCGGCATCCAGCTCCTGGCACTGCGGAGGCCTCACGAGTCCCTAGCCGGACACCAAGCAGCTGCAGCCTCCCAGGCATGTGCCCCGCCTCCTCCAGTGAGGCCCCGCCCCTCCCGTGAGGGCCCACCCCTCACGTGACCAAAGGCAGCTGCATCCTCCCAGGGCAGAGCCCCGCCCCCTCAACAGGTCTGACCCCACCCCCAAGAGGCGGGGCCTCTCAATACCCACCTCTCCCAGCAGCACCCCGCCCCCACTTGTGACCTAAGAGCAGCTGAGTGGCTGCGCACAGTCTCAGCTGGGCCAGGACCAGCGCTCCCAGGCTGCCTTGGAAACTCGCCCCCTCCCAAATCTAGGTGCTCTTTTCATCGGCTGGTCCCGACCTTGTGGTCAGTGGTTTTGTCCACTCTCACACCTCCTCCCTCTAGCCCATTTAGTACTTTCCCTTTGGTCACACCCATTTTCCAGTGGAGAAACTTGAAATCAAGACACATTTCTGTAATGTTTGTAAGTGAACAGGATCGCCTGTCTCCACACAGGCCCCTGGCGGAGCTAACACTGTTACTATGAAATGAGATGTCCCTGGCACATACAACCCACAGCAACCCCACGCCCCCGAGGTGGGGCCTGCAGCTTCCCGCACCTGCGCACTACACTGCGTGTGTGGGGGGGGGAGCGGCCGGAAGCTGCAGCTGCGTGCACTGCGTGCCTGTTTACAGCTACAGGACGAAGGCTGCAGTTCAGGTATGTGGGATATATAACCTGCCTTTTTTCTTTTGCTCCAATATAGTCACCATTTGGCTCAGTTTCCTGGAATCTTCGGTGGAAGGCAGAAAAATCTGAATAACTGTGATTTATTAGAGGGGTTAGAAATGAAATTTAATGTTTTCAGGACCATCAGAGCAGAATCAAGGTTAAGGAAGTGACGATCACAAACTAGATTTTACAGAAAAGTAGTGCAGAAAGCCCCAACTCCTGGTGACTGGGGGTGGGGGCTCTCACAGAAAGGAACTCCCTGGGACACTTCACATCCTTTCGATGAAACACGGGTCATTCAAGAAAAGGCCACGCACCCGGTGAAGGAGGAAGCTGAAGAAGGCACAGCATGAGTTGCCAAGTGTTGGTGACATCACTCTGAGGGTGCAGCTGAGGCAACACCTAGCGTTTTATCTACCACTCCGGCGCTGAGTCGGAACACACTGATGATGCCAAAAGCAGTTTTAGGGAGCACTTGTTTTGTTTTGTTTTTGCTACTAGTTCCCTTGTAAAGGGAACTCCTAAGTGGGGGGCAACAACCCAACGGACAGCCCCCTTCCGCTCCAGGGAACTAGGGGTCTGTGCTTCTCTCCTCCTGCCTCAGAGGCAACTTTTTTTTGAGATTTTATTTATTTTTAGAGAGGGGGAAGGAGGGAGGAGAGGGAGAGAAACATCGACTGGTTGCCTCTTGCACATGCCCCAACCCATGACTGGGAATCAACCTGCTCTCGCTTGGCAGGATGTCAGGGCAGAAGCAAGCTTTGATTGTAGGCAAGATTTGCAAGGTGCTTTCCATCTTCTGGTTTTTGTTTTTATCATTTAAATGACCAAATGCTGTTCCTCATGGCCCCAGGCTCGGCTTCAGCTCCATCCTCGGTGTGGGGAAAGGACAGCCGTGAGCAGAGGTATTATCAGCAGATGCAAACAGTCCTTAAGTAGAAGGGGCAGAGAGGACAGTAACGAAAGGACATACCAAGTTTGCAATATGGCATCAGCTGCCCTCAAAAGATGTTAGCAGTTAAAGAATGTGACCCTAACGTAACAGGGTGCAGCCAAGGGAGCCCCAAATAGGGATTTGTAATGGGGTCCAGAACTCAAGGTGTCTGGGAAATATTAGAAAAATATAAGGGATGTCCTGACCCTGCCCCACAAGGCTAAGCTGGGGGAAGGGACACATGGCACAGGGTAGTTGGGAGCTGTGTTACATAGCAACAGCTTTGCAGCTAACCTCTGGCATGGTCATACAACGTATCTATAACCTTTAACTGGTTGCATAGATACGTTAAATAGCTGTGGCCATGCTTTGAGCCAGGGGGATGGAAGTGACTTCCACCCAAGATGTAACTGGGAGGCAACTCCCAGCCCCCCATTACAGCGCCTGCATTAGAGCGTGGAGAAGACTGGCTCCACGCCATGGGGCCACACCTGCCCAGACTCATTACCACAGCCCAGAAAAGCTGGAATAATACAGGAATGCTGGCAGGTATAGCCGATGGTGGGAGGAGCTGGAAATGGGGCTGCAGAGGAAGACTGGCTTGGGGATTTAAACCCAGACACAGCAGCCACGTGAAGGGAGAACCACTTGGCTTTGGCAGAGTGAGGATCACGTGGCTTTGCAGTGCTCCCTTTTGCCACGTGGCTCAGGAAGCAGGAAAGACTTTGCCTGGAAGAAAAGGGGTGAAAGGACTCTTGCTGGTGGGCCATGAGAAGGGGCCACATAGCTTTGAATTAACTGGAGACCATGGTGGCAACACAGCTAATGGTGCCAGGAGCCCAAATCATGGACTTTTCTACTTCTTTTCCTGAGATACGGTACCCCAGATTAGGTCAGAGAGAGAAGGAAGGACTGTGTGTGTGTCTGTGGGTGTCCTAAAGGACTTTAATATTTTAATGAAGACATTAAGTCACTACTCTAAGTCTGTATAGCTTTAAATAAATATTTCCTTTCCTTTTCACAAATCTCTAGCATTGAGATATCTTTCCTCTGGTGGCAGGCATAGGGAACCTAGTGGGGGGGTCCTTTTGGTAATAGTATATCGTACACCCACCTTGGGTCTGTTCTGTTACACTAACGCTCACCTTGTGGCTATACCCAGCTCACAGGCTAATGAGGGGGGGGATGCAGCAGTTATCTTGTTGGCAAAGTATCCCAACCTCCACGCTCCCCTCCGAGCACACCAGCCCCAGCAAATGGTCTGAAGGTAGCGTCCCTACGGTGAGGACACTCGGGGCAGTGGGTCTGGCAGGGCAGGGCAGGGTGGGAAAGTCACTGAGCACTTCCAGCTCAGGAGGCTGGTTTCAACACGGAACATATTTTTAATGGCCTTCAGTATAATCAATGCCTTTCTAACAATTCAGTGAAAATACCACTATCTTTCCTGTATTAACTTTCTTGGTTTTACTTCACTTAAAAAGACTTAAAAAGACTTATTTAGCAGCCTCTTTCATCTTACGCACCCTCAGACTGATTAGGGATAAGGTGTACCACAATCCAGTTTTTTACAACTCTGACTTCTACGTCTGTGCACTCTGCCTGCTCCCTTGCCAGCAACAATCACAAGAAAAACAAGACTGACCTTCTAAGTGGGGCAGCAGAGCCTGGGTGGGAGCCCTGCCCATGTCACTGAGTCCATCCCCTCGACCACAGAATGACAGCAGTGCCACCTGCCCCACAGGACAGTGAGGATCAGTGCTGTTCTGTGAAGTTCCCAGCACAGGGCCAAGGGCATAGTCACTGTCATCACTGCTGTCAGCCCCGTGCAAAAACAAACCTAAATCCAAGACTGGCAAAAGAATATTTATGTGATAAACACCCAAAAGTTGTTTTTCAAGAAAAGTACACAAGTCAAGCTTACCAGATTCTGAAAACCCTGTCACCTGCTTTATTTCTGGAGAAGGGGAAAGAGAAGAAATACTTGAATTTGAGGGGCAGCTAAACTGGCAGCAACCACAGCAACAAGCCTGTGCCTCTCGGATTCCTCTGGTCCACAGGGAATGCCTCAACTTCCTAGACCAGAGATTCAAGAGTCTAACTTTTCCCCAGAGCAAGACCATTGGGATAAAGGATCAAAGGACCAACTCAATAGCACCAAATGGGGTTTAACACAGAAAATAGGGCCTGGTTTCTCCTTTCACACAAAATCCTTACATTAAATATGTTCATAAGTCACGGTTATGTTTCCTCTTACGTTCAGAGAACATGAGGTCCAACCCGTCCCCGTCCCCAACAGGAGCACGTGCGTCACTAAGCAGATAAACAATCCAGAGCCCCTTCAGCCGGGACTCGTGACGGCCGCTGGGGCAGCCGAGCCCTGCCTGCCACGGGGCGGGGCGAGGCGCAGCGACTACGCTCTCAGGGAGAACGGGTACTGAGGGTGCCACCAGTCAAACAGTCGGACGCTGTGCACCGGGTCCAAGACGACCTGCACGCCCTGCTCACTGCGCAGCTTCCGACCACCGTGGACCGGAGAGTCTTGGAACACCAGTCTCACTCGGTGATGCCGCATGTCCGTGCTCACATTGACTGTAAACTGGAGGGAAAAGTGCATTCCATGAGATCCCACAACCCAATGACACCACTGTCCCCTCACAGTCCACTCTAACACGACACAGTCCTCACCAAATTCACACTGGCAAGGCCCCAAGATAACCTCTAAGTTACGATTCCAACACCTTCGCAGACACAAAATTAAAGGTGATTTTATCAGTTCGTGGCTTAACATATTTAGACTATGCTACAGAACGCCTCTCGGACAGCGGGGTTGCACGCAGACTCCCACCCAAGCCAACTTTAAACACTGGGTTGGAGCTGTAAGGGATGACTTGAAGGGATTTTGATGAGATACTGTTGAGCAAGTCAGGCAAGATACATGAAGCACACACCTGACCCCCATTTTTTGATAAAATACACCATGAAAGCTCTAAATATGGCCGTACATGTGCAGGTCTGCAAAGAACTGCACGAGTCTGAAGTACAGGGAGCACGAGTGCCGTGTAAGTAGGTGTTTCACGTGGCTTAACGGAGGGCCGGGGGCCATACGCCCCTTTCCAGACTTCCCTGGAGAGGGCGTGCACGTGACCCAGGAGAGCAGTCCCAAAGAGCAGCCAAAATAATTTTAGGACTGTATAAATGTAACTACTCCTTAACTGTTAAGGAGTTGCAATTACATTTGGCCCTTTGAAGGCAACCTCAAGGCTGATGTGGCCCCCAGGGAAAATGAGTTTGAAACCCCTGCCCTAGGAGAAGGTCACTCTATGTTTTAACATTGTATGTATTACGCCAGCCAGGCAGCTCAGCTGATTAGAGCAATGTC